GAAATCAACCCGTCATCGGTCATACAAAGATGCGGGTAGACACCTTAGAAAGCTTACAAATTGAGATTAATAAAATACATCTGGGCCACCTGTTCCTGCCATCTAGATATTTCAACAAGTTATCTATTTTTGTTTGTTTTAATATATCATTATGTCTATTAATCGCATAAGCTATCCTGGTGCATTTTTGAAGAGTGTACAACCTTTCGTTGTCAAAGTTACAAAAAGCTCAATAAGAGACAATGTGGTTGATGGCAATATACAACGAAAAGAATGTACATTATTCAGATGTTCATTTACTGAACTGCTAACATCTAACTGGCGATCACCCAATATATATCGCCAGGACCGAGCAGGAGGAAAGAAACGGAAACTTGTTGAAATACTTTGTGCTGAGAATTCTATATTGTACCAAAAATATAATATTGAATAAAGCTAATAATAATAAGTTATTAATAACAGTAGATAGATCATTTTCAGTATGGGGCTGTGAAAATCGTTAAATTTCATTAAAATCATGAATGGATCAGTATCAGTTCAACGGTGAAAACATGGAAGCACTGGATAACCGTTTCATCTTTGCATTGGACTCCTCAGGAGTTGACTGCTGTTCAGAGATTTCAGGTTTTAATTGGTGGTCTAAGATTGATCTGTAGTGAATCATTTATTTGGATTTTAGATTTTATGACTGGATCATAAGTTTAGTCTGAAAACTTGAGTGGACTTAACAATGTCTGTAAATACACTTATCAACTGGATTAAAATTCATTTTCTCTTAATGAAATGGCTTAAAACTTCATCAAATGTTGGGAGTTTCATCAATTGCTTATTAAAAAGTGTCTTACCAGTTACATGAAAATGAACAACGTTATATACTCATGTAATAGATAATATTGTGATTATGAAAGTCTGTGGAAGTTTTAGGGATGTAAGCACGAATCATATTTAGTGGAACTCATCATGTACGTTGAAAATGAATTAATATACATACGAAACTCTATATCTTTCTACCAAAATTTAAGGCTTATAAAACAGGTAATTAAAGCTACTATATATATGAAATATACAAGCCCTATCATATCATATGGTTAGAACTCATCAATATATGGATCAGTTAGGTTTTTAGGGAACAAATTTCATGTGGGTTATTCTATTCTATACTCATAATATTTTGCTATTTCATTATAAATTTACCATAATTCAAAGGATTAAATAATAAATCATATCAGATGTATTAGAAATTTCCCTTAGGCATACTATGATATTGCTTTACCCTAAGAGTATTAAAGCTAATGAATAAGAACTAAATAAAATAAATAGTAGTATTAATTAAATAAAATAGAATTTAGTCATTTCGTGGAACCCAATACCTACGTTTTGTTCTCTTTGAGACTTATCTATACCCTAGTACTGATATTCACATTATGAATTGAGTTCAGTACCTTTTCTTTTAAACATCAACGTTATGTTGATTAACATATTGAGTTCAGGTTATCACTAACTTGCTCAACAGTTATAAAGGTATTAGTCAAGTTTGATCAATCCGTTGTTGTTGTTATCTATGGATGCATTTGGTTCGCCTTTGTTAAATAGAAGATTGCTTCGATAGATCAATATAAATATTGGGATCCAGGTGTAGTGAACAGAACACGGGTGGGGACAATCGAACGTATTTAACACAAAATTGCAGGACTTATTAATAAAATCTAATAATCATAAAGTAAATGCTTAATTTGCAAAATGTCTATCAGTTGTCTCATAATGACTCAGACTTGATTGTTCTTGCATTTTCATACGAGTCGCATTCTGTTTCGATTCTTAACTGTTCGATCCTCTTGTCTCTCTGCTGCCAGACATTCTATTCACGACTAACATCATCTACTACTTATGTCAATATAAGTAGCACACACCACACAAGTACATTCAGCTAATGAGCCTCGACTAGGACGAAATAACTATCCTAAATTTTATAACAAAACTATTCAGTTTACTCAGAGCTTAACTTCTTTAAAATCACCACTTTCCTCCATCAATGATTTAACTTACTTTTCAGCATAAAAATTAGTGAATTTTATAATACAAACTAACTAATAATGTAAGGATTGTTTTGTAAATTTATCTCAAGTTATTATTCCATTCTCAAGGTACTACTTTAAATATGAAAAGATTGACATCCTTCACAATTGATTGATCATTGGGTGGTGATCAATATCATGTGTGTGAAGTCCTTCCTAGTGCAGATCACGGAGTCGAATCCGTCAGGGAGCACTAGTTCCCTTAAGATTACAGGTACACCTTGCTGACGAGTGTCAGGTAGCACCTACAACCATCATCTGATTGATATCCTTGTTTAAGTGGATTGTGTTAGTTTAAAATTCAACTATTGGCCATTACTATAGGATAAAGGTTAATAAACGAATTCCCATTCATTTATAATGTACGATGTTGATGTTGACAATGTTATTAAAATATATAATAATGAGATATTTAAAAATCTCACAGAGTTAAATAACTGCTGATTTCAGAAAACATACAGGATTCCCAGTGGTATTAATGATCGTCTGAATAAAGAATTCTTGTTGAGTCAGTTAGATTTAGCTTCTTTTCAGTAACGGTCATATATTTAAATGGATTGGAAGGGGGACTTTTTTATGATTTCTAGGTAAATGTTGTCTCAAACTACTCTAGACTGAAGAGATGTTGAATAAATTTGACCTGCTGCTTCATTACAGTTTGAGGATCTATAACAATGCAGGCCTATAACCTTATCAATTATTTAGAATCCAGGACCTAGGAGTCAATCAGTTAACAAAATACTTTTGATGATTGAGTTGAAATTCATTGTGTTTTAGCTATCCACGTATGTTGGGAAGTCATCTAGATGGATTTTTTATTTGTCTCTTTAGAGATCATAGTCAAACATGAATAGTCTCAGTTTCCCATAAACGACAATCAACAGTGATCAATAAATTTAATAAGTTGATCGAAACTCAAAGTGTCAACCAGCAAATAATCAGTTGTCAATTAAACGATACTGTGTTCGTGGCCAAATCTGGAGTTCTCGAATTTGATCTGGAATAGGATAATAAGTGTCATCTGTCTAAAAGCGTTAAACCAGAATGAAACATTTATCAAACACCATCTGATTTTCATCGGTCTTCCACCTAAATATCAGTTCCCGATGTAAATCATCACTAATTTTTCAGATTATGATTTAGGTCTCATTAAATCTTGTAACAAAGGGCTTCATCAAGGAAATCCTCTCAGGTATTATATGCACCAAGAGAGACTAGTCAAATGCAGTTCTGATTATAACAACGGAGAATTACAATCCCTTTCTTCACATTTCCTCCAGGACTAGGATCAAGTGTATTTTATTTCAAACAACAACGGGTAATCTAATTATCTGCTGATTTCACACAACCGATACAGTTTAGCAGCCGGTATGGCTATTAACTTAATTTGTAATGTGTTGAATTATCCCGTTGTTGATATTCAGAACTGAATTTCGATCTACTCTAAATTTGATTGCTAGCCATAATCCATCTATTCTATATACACTTGTGAAACAACTGGTTCCACACAAGATTCACATATCTCAACCAAGACTAATCAAAATTAAGTTCTGAATATCAACAACAGAATAATCCAAACCATTATAAATGAAATTATAATTAAATTGTTAATCCATGGAGATAAAATATATTTTGTTAAATATTTACCAAAAATAAATATCTAAATCAAAAACTTATTAATCTCCACAACCCTTTACTGATAGTTACCAAGTGCTCACTAGCGACTAGCTTCATGAGGGAATTCTCGGAGTTCTAGTGAGAAGCTGTGACCAGCGGAGCTAATCCGTGTCAGGTAGAAACAGGTGCCTACCTCAGTACAGTCAGTCAGTAACAATGTAGAACTTCGTACGTTCGTACACCAGTTCAAGTTGCCATAACACATTAGCACAGTGATCTAATTGTCGATTCAAACCCCATAGTAGTAGAGGTAGTAAAAATATAAGCAGTAATCGGAAAGATTAGGGTAAGATGTTATTCAAGGAGTATGATCCAGTGAAATAAATTTGGAAAGAGAAAAAATAAAAGGACATGAAGAATTCGGGAGAACACAAAGAGTGGATGTACCTGCATAATTGCAAACGATTTGGAGCCATATCATTCAAGGTTTCTTGCCATCAGTTTCTATCGTCTCGCGGATCCCAACTATGCAGTCTACATCTACCAACATGGTTCAGTCCACTCGTCAGTGACTTCATGGATTTGTGCCATGTTTTTTCCGGTCGTCCCTAGCTTTCTTCCAACCTACTCCTACACCATGAAACATCGCTCATCGAGGCAGTCAGTGGTTGTGGACACGTAGTAACACATGTCCCAGCCATCTCAACTGATGAATTTTCACTATTTGATCAGTTGGCATGCCATCCTTACCTAGTATCCATTTCCTAACAACTGCGTTACTTACTCGGTGGTCCCAGAATATACTGGCAATGCTTCGAAGAGACTTCAGTACAATGGAAGGTGGTCGCGCAACTTCGTGGATTGATTGAGGTTAGACATTAACACAGTTGGATACCGGCTCAGTGGTGTAGAGGTTAAGCGTTCGCGTGCGAAACCGAAGGCCCTGGTTTCGAATCCAGCGAGCGGGATCGTGGGTGCGCACTGTTGAAAAGTCTTACAATAGGACGAAACAGCCGTCCAGTGCTCCAACGTTTCCAATGCTGATCTAACATCAATCGGTTCATGATCTCAATCAAAAACTTAGTAATCTCCACAACCCTATACTGATAATTCTCAAAACAGCACACAACAACAACAAAAAGCATAAAACATTTATTGATTGGATAGAAACTACACTTTACTGGTTGATGCAGTTATTTCTATTAAATAAAAATAATAAAATAAACGAATCAACTCAGAATAGATACGCCCCCATAAAACAGGAGTATTTATGTGTGCATATAAACTTTTTTATATTAGAAACAAACAACCAATTACTTATTAACAAATATCGTTCATAAAATGATAAATATCATAGAAACGAATATGTATGAAGCATAGAAATTAATTTAACCTCATTATCACTTCATAAATGATCATTTTGTCAATCTATAAACAAATGAGATTTTAGTACTTCATCGAACATATTCAACATCTTTTCTTAACTTGGACTACACTCATCATCTGATGACGTATGATCGACTAATTTCATTCATCTATTAATATTGTAAAATATGACTACTGTAGAAATGACTAGTACTATGATTCCTTTAAATAATACCGAAGCGACAAATATAACATCGAATTCATCATCATTTGAAACGAATCCATTCGTGATTGACTTAACTAAATCATTTCATGTGATCAATAAACCATTGGCTGTATTTCTGTTTATTTGTGTATGTATTGCTTGTTTATTCTTTATTATTATTATACTGTGGTGTATACGTACTTGTATACGACGTAAATATGTTCCAAAAGTATTACGTAAACGTCCAAAAGGAATATATGTTGATGAAATACCTGGTTTAACACAAAATATTGAACAATATAAATATGGATCAATTGAATATTCATTAGAATATAACATAGATCGTAGACAATTAAAAGTTGGTGTATTACAAGCGAATAATTTAATTGGACCAATTAGTTCTGATACATTAGATCCATATACAACAGTTACATTAGCTAAATATGATGGACATAATTTACGTATTATTGGTAAACAAGAAAGAACCAATATAGTATTGAATACAAATCGACCAGTTTGGAAAAGAACATTTACATATGATGTAGAAGAACATGATCTTAATCATACTGTCATTATATATGAAGTATTTGCCCATGATAGTATATGTCAAGATATGAGTATTGGTAAATTAGAAGTATATCTTAAAGATGAAGATTATAGTGAATATGCTGGAAATATTATAGAACGAACTGGTTGGTTAACAGCTGGTACTATTTATAAATTTGGTCTTGGTGAATTATGTATTGGTGTTGGTTATTATCCAAATAATAATTTACCACATATTGATGTATGTATATATGAATGTAGACAATTAAATATAGATGAATATTTGCCTAAATCAAAACAACGTGAATTAGATATATTAATTATATTAAAGCATAAAAAGCATATTGTTTATCGTCAAAAAACGCATAAACGTAAAGAATTAATTAATCCATATTTTAATGAGAAAATTAGTATCCCTTTGAAGAATAGCAATGTCACTACTACTAATACTACTAATACTACTACTAGTAGTAGTATTATTAATCAAATTGAAAATTTTCATGTTTTATGCCAATTAAGACATGTGAATCGTTTACATATAAAACAAGTATTAGGTACTGTGCATATTGGATTAGATTCATCACAGGCAAGTGGAATAAAACAATGGGAAGAAATGATTAAAAGTCCATCAAAAATACACGTAATGTGGCATTCTATTGTACCATCATAAAAAAAATAACTAAATTGTTTCCTATTGTTGTTTTATTCTTATTTTGTTATTTAATTCATAATGAATGTAACTATGTAACTTTAATTCGTTATTATTAAATGAAAAAATACAAGTAACCTCTTTACTGTTATGATAATGGATTGTTATAAATCATGTTATTAACATTGTGATTCATTGAAGAAGTGGCTTAAACTAAGTCACGAAACGTTGGAAAGTCTAATTTTTCTACTCATTGGGACATTATAAATATATTATTTATTTATTATAATTATTATTAACTTTAATAATAGTTATGTTATGTAATTAGTATAAATCAGGATCTAGTTACTATATATATTACTAATGCACTGTTTATCATTTGAAAACCAGTGAATGAATGACCCTCCAATGGAAAGTTATTTCAATGGTTAAGATCATGAGTCAGTTGAAGCTAGACTACCATGGAAAACCTGGAAGCACTGGACGGTCGTTTCGTTCTATTGTGGGACTCCTTGGCAGTGCGCATCCACGACGTCGTCCCCTGCCAGATTCGAACCCATTATCATTAGAATATATATACGGTTCCATGCCTATTCATTGGTCTAGAAGTTAGACTCTTATATCCGGAACTGAAAGTTTAAAATTCTATCTCCTTTTGGATCATAGATGTGTACTAGTGAGAACTCCCATATTAGAATGAAACAGCTGTTCAATCCTTCCTAGCTTTCAATGGTTCTTTATTGACAAGTTTTAAAGTTGATAAGGATTGTTAAATCTCTGAAGATTATTGATTTTAAACACAATTCAACTGGAGAATTTCAACTGAAAAATTTCAATGTGAAATTTTTTTCAGTAGTGAAGACCGATAAGTTTAATAAAGCTCGAATCATGAATCTCTAGATTTAACGTCAAAAGCTCTACCTTCAAATTACTTGGTTGAATGCCAATCCAACGCTCTGAAATCAACATGCTCAATATGAGACCATAAAGTAATGTATTCAGTATCTGATTGAGTTATAAATGTGCAGTGTTAAAAATTTCCATTTTCGGTTGAAACATGTATCCAAAATAATCTGGTTTTCAAAAGCTATTTAACTAAATTCAATTAATCATATGAATGGAAAAAAAAATACGATTCCTTGTAATAAGTTCCATGGTGTTTAAGTTTTGCATAATGTAAAATATAATTCAAACGCTTCATAGAACATAATGGTTCATATTGATTTATTTTCTAAGGGTGATATCAAACCCTAATGTTTCCGACTACTGCTTATACTCTTACCGCCTCTACCACTACGAGATTTGAATCGACAACTGCATCTCTGTGCTAATGAGGTGTGGCAACTCGAACTGATGTACGTACGTACGAAGTTCTACGTTGTTACTGACTGACTGATATTATTCGGTTGACTGGTCTGACAGTTCTGAACGAAACTACTTTTATTTTAAATCAGTTTTAGGTATAATTTATAAATTCATTATATTGTTCAGCTTTAATGATATACTTTATTAACTTTGAAGCCATATGATAAACTACTACACACTTCTATACTGTAGAATTCATTCATTATTAGATGATTTGTCAACCAAATTTTAAGTCTTTTAGGCTCGGTAAAACCTTTATGTAATACCATTATGTCTACATTTTGCAAGTGTATATACTTAATTCTCATTCTTTGAAATCTTATTTGTTTGCATAAGCAAAAATGCACAATTCATTCTTCTGCATGCTAATGTAATCTTCAAAGACCTAAACACTTATTTAACAAAACAACAATCGTGATTTAGTCCAACAGAATTGATATTGGTCCACCAGGGTGCTTGGTACCTGTGTGGTTGCGCCACAGGATTGAGCTGTACTATTCAGATTGTAGCGTTAAAGCCTATACGGTGTCTGGTTCTCCTGCTAAACGGGGTTGAGCTGTACTGTTTGGGTTGTCATGTGAAAGTCCGGATGGTGTCTGGTTCTCCTGAAAACCAATGTTAAATTACCCTGGCCTACAAGGGTATATTATATAACTGTGAAAATATATATATATATAAATCTCTATAAAACGATCTAAGGATACAATAACCATATGTTCCCTATTGACTTACTTCAAGATAGATTTTTCTTATTTATGCCAAGAAGTTATGATTTGTGAAATTAACAGCGTCTGAAACTAGACAGTAGTCTATGATAGTTGACTAAAGTTATATTAGATTGTCAGGAGTCGAAAAATCAAACTATTGGTTTTTGACTCAATCGTCCAAAATTATTTTGCTTGCCTAAAGACTTATATGACCCAGATTCGAGCCTCTGCTACTGATGAATAGTCATAATTAGTTCTATATTAGAAGTAAACAATAGTTCAGTGGTTCTAGGTTTGAGATAATCATTCGAACGAAGTCAGCTCAAATGAAAAATCTTTACCAAGAACCTAAGTAAGTGGAATGTACAATCTTAAATTGGAAGATGGATTGGAAAATACCCAGAGTGTAAACAACTGAACGATTCAACATTTGTTCAAATGCTTAAATATTCCAGATTATCAAACCATATCTTTGAGTTCAACAGAAGCCAATTGTAGTAAGTTAAAATTTTAACCAAGCAGTTTGATTATGTACAATTATTACTTCATAAAATAACTTACATGGCTTAGCGTCACCATTTACGATTATGATTCTGAAAATCTTAATCTCAAATCTCTTAACAGGAAGCATTTTCCCTGACAAGTTCTTAAATAAACGCTTTTACTGAATGGCTATTAATATAAAACTTAAACCCATGACATCCTGTTAGTCATCAAATAGTGTACAGTGTGATCTAGTTAACCTTTTCATTTACTGTTTCAAACTAATTAATTCAGTTTTAGTGAACAATAAATTCAATGAAATGTAATTGAAGAAATGATGAAATGGATTTATAGTTTCAGTGGAAGCTTCTAAATTCCCACTAACAATTTATAATTGATTGATCACTGAGTTGAGACCAATGCCATGTATGTAAAATCCTTCTTTGTACGAATTTAATTCTGTCAATCAAGTTACAATTTGGCTACCAGTTCAAGTGACTCCACATCGTACGAACTATGTTGAGATGTGAGATGATAATTGGAAACAGTGACTGAATAAACACATATTGGTTAAAGAAGATGACACAGACAATGTCTAATAAAAAAATCACTGAAAGAAAGAAATAACTGTATAGTCAGTACTAGTTAAATATAAACCATATCAGTGAGGTTAGCTCCAAATTTATGTTAAATTTACACATTTCATTAATTTTGATAAATAGTGTACATAGTATATCATAACCTGTTCATGTCTCGATTCAGCCTGTAGCTCTTCTAGAGTTACTGCCAGTCTTAAGCCCGGGTAAAAGAAAAGGGTTGAGAAAGGGCCGCACTCCTACAGTTGAACTCAAAACAACTGTCAACCAACACCAAGGTCACAATTTTCAATACGAACGTCAAGACAGTCCTACTGTACCGATCTGAGACGTGGAGAACTACTACAACCATCATTAAAGAAGTACAAGTATTCATAAACAATTGTCTACACAGCATAATCAATGTCCGTTGACCACACACCATGAGCAACAGCCTACTGTGGGAGAGAGCAAACCAGCTTCCAACTGAAACGGAAATTAGAAGACGTTTAAAGTGGATATTATACACATTGAAGAAATCACCAAATTCCATCATGAGGCAAGCTCTAACTTGGAATTATTATTATTACTGGCTTTATTCAATATCATGCTTTCGGTACAATACAGAATTGTCAGCACAAAGTATTCTAACAAGTTTCCTTATTTCTTGATTGACCCTTGCGATAAATATTGAGTGGTGGCCAGTTAGAGGTTAACGGTTCAGGTATCGACATCTGATTAATGTATATAGTTTCCGATGCATATTGCCAGCAACCACGATGTCGCTGATTGGGCTCTTTTGTAACTTGTATAGCGAAATGTCCTGAACGTTTTAAAAAAGGCACCTGAATAGGTTATGTGATCGATTGGCTTAATGTTGTGTTAAACAATAAAACATATAACTTGTTGAAATATCCGGATGGCAGGAACAGGTAGCCCAGATATTCAAGCAGGCCTGAAAAGAAGCGGAAAAGTGGGAGGCCAATGAACACGCTATGTCGGGAATCAGAGGCAGACATCAAAATGATGAATAGAAACCGGAAACAAGTGCAAAGAATTGTCCAGGACGTAGTTGGATCGAGAATGCTGGTAGGTGGCCTATACTCCTTTACGAGGGGTAATAGGCGTAGGTAAGTAAGTAAGCTGAGGTCTAAATAAAATGTTTTTATATTTTCAAATAGGCCATTTATCGCTTTGTTCATTTTTACTATATTAAACTGTTTTAAAATATTGTGATACGATTTTTCTAACTTCTATTTAGTTAAAATGTCGAATACAAGTATTCACTTGATTAGTATATCTACAAACTACATCTATCTAAACTGCTCTGTAGACAACCTTAGAAAATTGTTATTAAGTAGATATTACAAACGAAAACCATTTTATTAGCTCTCGGTATGATAACATTTACAGAACTGATCATTTTTAGAAATATAACATTACTCATAATTTATCCATTGCCAAATAAACAATTTAGAACTATATTCAGAGAAGGGTTTTTGTGGATATTATAGTAATTTAATAGTGACGGTCTCCAAGAGGTACTTCCTGGAGTTCTGGTGACAAGTAGTGACCAGTGGAGTTCAATAGAATTAGTAATTCACTTAAAACAATGGTGGGTGGTGGGGTGGATTGGTTGAAGTTAGACATTAACACAGTGATCTAGTGCTTAAGTGCTCGCACGCGAGACTGATAAGTCCTGGGTTCAAATTTCGTTAGGCGAGATCGTGGATACGCACGGCTAAGGAGTCCTATACTAGGACGAAACGGCCATTCAGTGCTTCCAGGTTTTCCATGGTGGTCTAGCTTTAATTGATTTATGGATTCAACTATTAAATTTAGAATTGGTCCATAGAAAATTATTTCGTTATGGTTAAAATCACCTATGAAATGGTTTGAAAATGTTACTGAATTCATAACATTAGCTCTTATCATGAGATGATATATTTATCATAAATGTCTCTTTCAATTTTACGGAGTTTACCTTTTGTCCTTACCTTACCTTTTGTCTAACTTAGATCAGTTCGTGGCTTCACTTGACTCCAAAACCCCATACTAACAATTATCATGTGCTTACTAGTAATTAACTTCGAGGAAAAAACTTCCAGAGTTTCGGTAACAAGCCACCATCAGTAGGGTTAAACTATGTCGAGTGTAGGAACGGTCCCTACTGAAGACTGAAAGGTGGCCGCTCAGTATCGTGGATTGATTGAGGGTGAACTTGTGAACAAATGGGTCGCAGCTCAATAGTT